AACCATTTAAATAGAAGAGATCATTGAGATATCTCTTGGTCTCTAATCCTAGGTGTACCCTGATTTCTGCTCCTGTTATCATTAAATTTGCATTCTGCTACTAATATGCATCCTACTCTAGTTCTATGGACATTATCTTCCTCAATTTCTCTCTTGTTATGGATTATCAAACCAATGAAATAGAAGATATCATTGAGAAATTTCCTGGTCTCTAATCCTAGGTGTACCCTGATTTCTGCTCCTATTATCATTAAATTTGCATTGCATATATTCTCTTTTAGTCATACTCATTTTTGTCCATTAATCTGATTATTCATTTAATCCCTTTCTAGTTTCATCAATTAAAACTATGACATCAGCAAACAACATACACCGGGGTCCCCTGAATATGTTTACCATATCGTAGAATGTAATTATGATGTTTATAGTATAAACAATTTGTCCTATGTAGGACAACTTTATGGGATACAAAGGCTTTAGGATGGTCCGTGGTGCTTCGGGGGAGATTTCAATGTAATCCAATTTACGAATGAATCAAATAATCCCCAACAGGTCATCACAACCAGCATGCGGAGATTCAATGATTTTATTAATAACTGTAAATTAAAAGAACTCCCAATGCTGCAAGCCCTCTATACTTGGTCCAACTTTCAAGAGACACCAACCTGCTCCAAATTAGATAGATTCCTTTTCAATGAAAGCTGGGAAAATAAGTGGGCGGAGTTGATAACTAGGGCTTTACCGAGAGTCACTTCTGACCATTGCCCCATTGGCTTAGGACAGGAACCTTTTAGGCAAGGACCCCGACCTTTTAGGTTTGAGAACATGTGGCTAACTCACCCGGACTTCGTCAAGAAGGTTGAGGAATGGTGGAGAGAAGGCCTAAGGGGGGTGAAGTGGAAAGGGGTAAGATTTCACAAAAAACTTAAAAGATTGCGAGCACATGTGAAGGAGTGGAATAGGGAGAATTTTGGGAGAATAGAAGAAAGGAAATCCTCAATGTTGACCCAAATAGAGGAATTGGATATGAAGGAATCTCAAAGAACCATAAGCCCTCAGGAGAGAGATCGGAGATGGGAACTAAAAAGAGAGTTAGACGAAATTGTTTTGAGAGAATAAATTTCTTGGAGGCAGAAGTCTAAATGAAGATGGATTAAGGAAGGAGATGGGAATACTAAATTCTTTCATAACCTAGCCAATGGAAGGAGAAGGAAAAACCTAGTGTCCAAACTAGAATTGGATGGAATAGTCTTTGATACCCAAGAGAGGATAGCCAACTGTTTTGTTGACCACTTCAAATCCATTTTGAGGAGACCCCTAAGACCTAGTGTGGAGTTGGAAGGTGTTACCTGGCAGAGGCTTCCAGAAGAGAGTAGAAGTTGGCTGGAAAGGAATTTTGAGGAGGAAGAAATCAGAAAAGCCGTTTTTTCAATGGACATGTCAAAAGCACTAGGGCCAGATGGGTTTACAATGGCTTTCTTCCAAAACTGTTGGGACATAGTCAAAGAAGATTTAATCGATGTCTTTAAGGAATTTGAGGATAACCCAGTGATGAGTCGTGGAATTAATGCTACTTTTTTAGCTTTAATTCCCAAGAAGAAAGAGGCCAAGCATCCAAAGGATTTTAGACCTATTAGCTTGGTGACTAGTGTTTACAAGATTGTGGCTAAGGTCTTATCTTTGAGGATAAAAAAGGTGCTTCCTTGTCTTATCAGCCAAGCACAAGGAGCTTTTGTTCAAGGGAGACAAATTGTAGATCAGATTCTAATAGCAAATAAATGTGTGGAGGAGATGAGGAGATCAGGGCGTCAAGGTTTTGTTTGCAAACTTGATCTTGAAAAGGCCTATGACTTAGTGGATTGGGGATTCTTACTCTTTGTGCTAAGGAAGTGTGGGTTTGGGGAGAAATGGTGCAAATGGGTAAATGGTTGTCTGTCCAATTGCCATTATTCCATCCTAGTCAATGGAGTAGTTAATGATTTTTTCCCAACTAGTAGGGGTCTGAGACAAGGTGATCCTATGTCACCTTTCCTTTTCACTTTAATCGCCGATGCTTTTAGTAGACTCCTCTCAGAAGCAGATAGAGCCGGATCTCTAAGAGGGTGGAGAATAGGTAGAGACAGAGTTTAACCCATCTCCAATTTGCAGATGACATAATAATCTTTTGTGAAGGTTGTGATTTGATGGAGGTAAGGAATCTGAAGGATTTAATAATTCACTTTGAGAGAGCCTCAAATTTAAAGGTAAATTTTGAGAAGAGTTGTGTTGTGGGAGTTCACTTGAACAGAGAAGAGTTAGAGTCTATAGCAGCCTTGCTAGAATACACCTGCTCTCAATGGCCTTTATCCTACCCAGGACTTCCTTTAGGTGCAAATTCAAAGGAAAGTAGGTTTTGGAACCCGGTGGTGGAAAGATTCGAAAAAAGATTGGCAGCTTGGAAGAAAAACTATATTTCCAAGGGGGGTAGAGTTACTTTGATTAAAGCAACTTTAGCCAACTTGCCTTTATACTTCTTGTCAGTCTTTAGAATTCCTAGAAGGGAGGCAAAGAGGTTGGAAAAACTAATGAGGGATTTCTTATGGGAACCTGGTGAAGAGAAAAAATATCACTTGATTAGGTGGGAGGTGGTGTGTCGGAGCAAGGAAGGAGGTCTAGGATTAGGGAATGTGGTGAGCAAGAATGAGGCTCTTTTAGGTAAGTGGCTTTGGAGGTGGCCCGTGGAGAGGGAAAGGTTGTGGCATGAAGTAGTGAAAAGTATCCATGGTTGTTCCGAATCAGGTTGGGATGTGGGAGTATCCCGAAGGGCTTTGCTCACAACACCTTGGAAGGTTATCCCTAGCATTCTCCCTAAGTTCCTCAGTTATGTAAGGTATGATGCTTGCTCTGGAAACTCCATTCTTTTTTGGGAAGATACTTGGGTGAGCTCTCAAGCCCTAAAAGACCGTTTCCCTTCTCTCTATTCCATCTCCCTCTTTAAAATGAAACCCATTTCTTGGTTCCTTCCCCCCCCCCCCCGGGTTTGCCCTTTGGCCTTAAATTGGGATTTTGGGTTTCGAAGACGGTTAAGGGATGAAGAATCTCTGTGTGTTTCAGAGCTGTTGTTGCTTCTAGATTCGGTGTGTTTGGACCCCCCTAACCCGGATAGAAGAGTCTAGTCCCTAACTTCAGTCGGCTCATTCACTTGTGTTTCTTTCTTTAAAGCCCTTTGCTCTAACCCCTCCTCTCAGCTCTTCCCTGTTAAAGAGGTATGGTCAAGACCAATTCCCCCCAAAATAGTTGTGTTCTGTTGGGAAGCTTATTATGGTAAGATCAATACTATGGAAAACTTGCAAAAGAAGAAACCTTTTATGTGCTTGTCCCCTAATTAGTGCTCTCTGTGTAAAGTGAGGGGTGAGGACTGTAACCATTTGCTGATATCATGCTCCTTCGCTACCAATATTTGGAAATGGGTCGTTTCTTTATTTGGGTGCAGGTGGAATTTGCCCTCTGAAGTAAAGCTGCTGTTCACTCCGGCTGCCTTTGGGAGATTGACAAAAAGAGGGAAGCTAATGTGGAAATGTATCAGAGCCGCTACATTGTGGACTGTATGGGAGGAGAGAAATGCTAGAATATTTCAAGAACAGGAAAGAAGCCTTGCTGAAATCAAGGAATCCATATCGACAAGGACTATCTCATGGTTAAAATCTTCACACTTGTTGGCAGATTACACCTTTGATGACTTGAGGAGAAATTGGGCTGCAGTGGCTGCTACAGTCTCCACCAAGATCAAATCACAAGCTAAATGGATTCCCCCACCGGATGGTGTGGTAAAATTGAATCTTGATGGTAGCTTCCAAGGTAACCCAGGGCGATCGGGAATAGGTGGGATTCTGAGAGACAAAGACAGCAATATGTTGTCTCTATTTCAGGACCAGTGGGTGAAAGTGATTCAGTAAGGGCAGAGCTACTAGCAGCAGTACAAGGTATACAGATGGCTAGTCAAATTGGAGTGACCAATCTGCTAGTAGAAGGGGATTCCAAGGTAGTAGTAGGCTGGCTAGTTAGCCCAGAAACAGCCTGTTGGGGCTACAGGGATCTGTTAAAGAAAGTTAAATGGTTGACAAGGAATATGACTGTCAGGTTTTAGAGGGTCAGAAAATCAGCAAATGCAATGGCTGATTCTTTGGCCAAGCAAGGGGTGTCAAGGGGAGATCTATTTTGGGCTACTTTGTAATTGTGTCTCAGGCCTGGGCAGTTTTGGTGTATATGGTTCAGTCCTAGAGGGGTAACATCTCGTGCCTCCTGCTAGGCTGATTGTATTTTTGATATTTGATTTAATAAAACTACTTTTGTTCATCAAAAGAAAAAAAAAAATTTGTCCTATGTAGGACTTGAACTGCAAGAATACAACTATTGTATATTAAGAACATGATACCCTAAAGCATTGAGCTTATAGGTTTTCTTCAAATATTTTATTTCTTTTAGAATTTAAATTTGCATATTCTTGTATCTTATGTTTTTATTTTTGTTCTTTCTTTTTCAAAAGTGGCATCTAGTTTTTTCAAGCTCATGCTTCACTCACCGTGCGCCCTGCAGCTTATGCTCTAGGAACCCCTTGTGCTTTAGTTGTGCTTCTCACTTTTAAAACACTGGTTATCAAACAAGATCTAACACATAAATGACCATTAAAAAACTAACTTATGGTGCTACACCATAAAACATAAACATTGGTAATGGTGGATGTTCAAACTGTGACCAACCTCTCTTTGATCAAGTTTGCACATTAACTATTTCTGTACCAACCACGCCACAAATACATGTCAAAAATTTAAAAGTAGCAATAAAAATAATCTTGTATGGCAGTAGAAAGTGAAGGCAGTCAATGCAGAAGTGAATGCATATATTTGGACCATAGTCTTTTGTTTTGTATTTACTGAATCTAAACTACATAAGTTTTCTGCATTCTGTAACTAAGATTAGCGATTGACATCATATGCACATTAAGAAGGAAAGAAGGCAACCTCAGGTAAAGAGCCTGGACTGTAAGTATCATCATCCTCTGCTATAACAAGGACCTCATCACCTTCTTCTAGGACATAATCATCATTTGGATTTAATACAATCTTCCCACCACTTGCAGCAACCTTAACTCCACATGGTACTGCATCAGGGAATGAAATCAGTATATCTCCAAAACTCACACCATACAATTGAGGCCACCTTTTGATATAGAACTCAGCATTCTCAAATCCTAGAATGTCCTCCCATATCTGCACAGAAGTATAAATGCAAATCAAGCCAGAGTCTATATGCATGATTAAGGATCAACAATGGCAGAATATTTAAATCAAATCTATCCTCCACCAACAAATGACAGTTTGGACCTCCTAAAATTTGGACTTCTACAATATTGTATTTTACAAACAGGCACTAAAATCTTGTGCATATAAATTCCAAAGAAATGAGACTGAGATGTGTGAAATAAGTAGGACATTTTAGTGACATTCTCATTTAACACTGTCAAATTATTATTTTATAATTTTAAGATGTTACTCATTGAACTTTCTTTAGCAAGTGGCTGGGTGCCATGGATCTTTGAAAACTTCATGATCTGAAAATCTGAGGCAATAGAATGGAAAAGGTGAAAAAATGAAAAAAAAAAATTACAGCAAACAAGTCCTCCATGGGAAACGGATGCAACATACAATTGCACATGGTGGTGAAATCTGTCCAGTCTCACTTTTAAATCAAAATACAGGATAATGCAGATAGGTTGGTAAGAGAAAAAAAAAAGTTCTTCAAAACAGGACTAGATTGACAATTGAAATTTGAAAATAAAATAAAAATAAAAATGATACAAATAAGGTTAATTAGAAAGTGGTAATGTTGAGGGCCCGGGAATAGGATCTCGTCACGGGTCGGTCCACGGGGAAAACCTCCAGTTTTCCCTTGTTCCTTCCTGCTCTTGATGAACCTATCATGGCGCCTCTAGTGATTTGTTCAAGAGATCACCAACTCTCCTAACTCACTTCTTCAACTGAATATTCGATATCTCATTCAATAATGGGGTCTCCTTAAATAGGAGATTACAAGAGTCCTAATCAAAGGGAGTCTCCTTGCTGGATAGGGAGACTTCCAGTTCTATCTTGCTAAGGATAAGATAAGTTAATCCCAATCTGATAAGCTACTAAC